CAGCTCGCATTCAGCTGCGTTTATATTTTTGGCATTTAGGCCTGGAGTGGTAGATGGTCGAGCATGGTGCAGAGGATTGACATGTTGACTAAAGGTCAGTGGAATGGGGCCTGTGCCCTCGAGAGCATGCCTCTACGAGTTTGTGTCAGTTTTTAGCATTTTGTCAGCACTTTAAAACATGTGCATGACTGTTGCAGTGATTCATCAGAGAGTTTTTGCTTGCCACAGGGTCGGCTCAAATTTTAACCTGGATAAATCTCGTCAACATTCAGGAACCATAATACAATAACCACTAAATACCAAAACAAAGAACAGTGGAAAAAATTACAATTTTCTCAATATTTAAGAGTTTACTTTCAAACTCTATGCCTTGAGTCAAAGCTTTAGGGTTCCCTTCCACAATAGTTTGCTGAAATTAGGACCTTTGCCTCCTGACAAAACCTCTGTAATCGATTGAGCACCATAGGTCACCTTGTTAACCACAACTTCTCATATGACCTTTATAATGGACACTCCAAAACACTGATTTTGCTGTCCTGAAGCTACTTTCTAACCACAAGTTCATATGTTGGGGGTTCATGTCTCTTTGAAAGATCTATTTGTGGTCGACTTTAACTTCCCAATGTGTTGCCATAGCACTACCATATAATGTGATCTCTTTTTCTGAATGCTTTGTTGCCTTGATTACCAACTTAATCAGTCCATAGCTTCACCTTTCCCACCCTGCGGTTGACAGAATGCAGTGTGTGTGTGCTGATATGTTGTGAGGTTTATTGTGCTTTTTTTTTTGTTGTTTGTTTGTTTTTTTCTGTGCTGGACTTTAAGGACAAACCTTTTTACTTTGATCTTATCTCTCTAAAGGACATTGTTCCTCATGGTTCATATCTCATTGAAATTCTACTTTGCCTACTTCAGTCATGCTGTCTGATTTTAACCTTTTTGCTATAAAAAAACAACCTTTTTAAACACAAACTTGCATGTCTAAGTCATTTCTGATGACCTCTCATTTTGGTAATGCTTTTGTAACTTATATATAAGTCTCACAACAGCAACCGCTCAAAAATCCTACTTTTTTGGGTTGATGATAAATTCACATATGTGCTAGCTGTGCAGAACATGAATTTTTCAATTGAGACAAACAAGCAGGCAAAAGGCTTAGATTCTTTTCATGTTGTTTGTGTCTATTTAAGGTTGAATTAACATCACTTTAGAACATGGTAGACAAACAACAATAATACATGACTTTGGCAGGTCTCAATGTGTGAAACACTGGAAATGAAAGGTTGGTACAATGTACAGATCTCACAGAGAATATACAGCATGAAGCGAATGACAAGGGCATGCTGTGCAACAGCTGCTTCCGTCTGGAGTAAACGGCACCTGAGGAGGTTTCGTCTGACCAAATAGCTCATGGTGTTTTCTCTCCTTCAGATCAAATCTGACATGGAACGCAGACAGTAAAGGTTAAACCAACCAAACATACTATAAAGTTTTCTTGTCACTTAGCTACTAACCTAAACCATGGCACAGTGCAAGACTATTCAGGCTACAACTGTTTCATATTGTGTCACAGCTATAAACCTTGATGCACAGATCACCACAAATCACTATTTCTTTAAAATAAAAATCTAAAAAGTACAGCTCATACTTTAATCAGTCCTCTTCATTATTCTACCTTTAAATAAAATTGACATAAACCACCTACCTTAAGTTTTCACCTGAGTATTAACATATCTGTAAATATCAGTGATGGAGTGGAGTCATATTCTTCTAAAGCCGGGCATACACTGTACGATTTTTTCAATCGTTGCACGAAGCTACAACTGAAACTGTAAGACAAAACCAGAGGGTTTAAAAGTTCACCGCTCACGGTGCATGTTCTCACACTGTGTGACCCGACCTTCTGATGTGATCTACCGGCTCACACTGTACGTCTAAAAACCACACGTCGAACTCAGCACCGAGAGATGGCGCTGGTCAGACTCGTCAATCTGGAAGAAGAACTCGTTCTTGCAAAATTTTACCCCTAAACCCCATACAGTAGGCTCACTAGTTGAGTTGGTAGAGGGCGTAGCTAGAGCTTCAACACCATTAAGGAGGGTGCTGTTATATTTTATGGAGTCTTTGCAATGATGGCAGCTGGAATATTGATTTTAAAACCTGTTGATAAAGTTAGAAGAAACTTTGTGGCAAATAGTTTTGAAAAAGTCGACAACTTTAAAATTTAAATCCTTAATCTCAATGTTATGATTTAGCTTCCAAAATCTCAGATTACTTTAATTTATCATTATTATAATCATCATTATCCATCCATCCATTATCTGACATGCTTTATCATCAGTGGGGTCACGAGGGGTGCTGGTGCCTATCTCCAGTTGTCAATGGGCGAGAGGCAGGGTACGCCCTGGACAGGTTGCCAGTCCATTGCAGGGCAACACAGAGACAAACAGGACAAACAACCATTCACACTCACACCTAAGGAGAATTTAGAGAAGCCAATTAACCTAACAGTCATGTTTTTGGACTGTGGGAGGAAGCCGGAGTACCCGGAGAGAACCCACGCATGCTCAAGGAAAACATGCAAACTCCATGCAGAAAAACCCCAGAGCCAGGAATCTAATCGAGAACCTCCTTGCTGAAAGGCAGCAGTGCTACCCACTGTTTCACTGAGCAGCCTTAATCATCATTATTATAATCATTATTTTATACGAACACTGAAAAAAAAATGCAACCGCTTTTGGCATTTATTTAATCCTATTTTCTTACTTTAACTGAATTGTTTTATTTCCTACCTTGCTAACATGAAACAATTGCGTTAAAGTAACTAAATATGATTAAGTAAATTGCAAAAACAGTTATTTAAAAAAATAGTTAGTTTAAAAAAATAATGTTATAAACATTATTTTTTTCACTGACCCTCCATCAACTGTTTGGCTTTTACTGGTCCCAAGTCAGCAGAACGTGGATCTCCAGACCAGTAAAGTTTCCCTTCCTCGTTTCCAGTGCCTTTCTTAGTGAATGAACACCTTTTAACAAGCATAGCAAGTCGTATTCTTATATGCCATATTTTTTTCAGTAAAGGTTCAGAAAACAAGCCTGCAAAAACTTGAGATTGGTTCAGAAGTTCCTCTTCAGTAACCTTAAACAATAGTCAGTGTTCATGGAATGGTTTAGATCGAAGCATAATGTTCGGTCTAATTGCCCAGTCCAAGTTCCGACCAAATTAAAATAGAAAATCCTGGGGAAAGTTCAAAATAGTATGTTTACAGCTGCTCTCCGTCCAGTCGGCTTAAGATCGAACTATGAGGCGAAGAAAAACTGGCTCAACTTCAGTAGGTAGATTTATAAAGTTGTAAGAGTCATTCCCCAAACCCCTTGAAGCAGTTTCTGCAGTGAAAAGAGGTCAGGCAAAGAGACATGAGCTGAATATAACCTCAGTTTTCAGATTCCAGGAAAACTAAATCCATTCACTTTCCATTACAGTACTTTATATTAGTCTGTTACATAACTCCCTTAAATACATTGACCTTTGTGGATGAATGTGACAATATGTGAACAAATAAAATGGATATGAATACTTTTTTCCAAGAAACGTTTAGGTTAAATGGTTCATCTCTACCTCAAAATCCATTAGAACAACCATCAGCAGCAGCAGATCACTTCTCTTTAGAACATCATGATTCCATCCCAATTTATTATAAGAGGATTGGACTCTTAAACAAAAAATCTTCAAGAGAAGCATTAAGGATTCAAACCTGAGGGGCAATAGACTTCCATAACCCCCCTGACTTCTTCATCCAGCACACAGTCCCAAACACACATACATCCACACACACACACACACACACAGACAGCGCCTGGGTCTTCACTGCGGGTTAAAAAACAAGTTCACAAACCATGCAATAATCAGCTCAGACAAGACTGAATGTGCACCATTTTCCTCTTATTTTAACAGAATAAAGTCTAAAAGAGCAACCAAAAAAAATGAAAGAATAAAGCTAGTTAAAAAAGACCCAATGGGGTTCTATTGAGCAGACGCAGCCAACTGAAAATGATTCTGATTTACTGCTTTTGTAAAAGCTTGTTTGAGCAGAGTGTGCAGCATATTCATCTGATTGGGTCTGGATGAGGTCTGTATCACAGAGACCAGTGAAGAAAACCACATAATGCTGCACAAAATCTCTTTGACCTGCACTGTTATTTTACTGCCCTTCAAGACCCGGTATGCAAGTCTGAAACAGAGCATTGCTTCTTTCTTATGTACATATAAAGCAGCTAGATTATCTCTGCTTGTATGAAGTTGATTGAATAAGGCTCACATATCTGTGTGATGATGCAGATAAGATTTGGACCAAATCTCCAAACACCCCCTTTGGAAAGCCTGTGGTAATGCAACAAGGGGTGGCGTCCTTATTTCATTGTTTTCTTAAGGAAAACATATTTTTACTACCAAATATGCGTCTCAAAGAAAGCCAGCTGTGTGGTTGCTATGGAGAGAAATCATTTGCTTAAAACATATACCTATGACAAGATCATAAAGTGCCAGATTTAAAGAGAATCCATTCAGATTATGATGGATTTCTGGGTTTCTCTGAATCGTTTTTAATAACTGAGAGCTCCCTCAGTCCCCAGTCACTTAATTTGGATTGAAAAGCTGGCATCACCGGGGAGGAATAAATCATGTATTGGCTTATCTCAGATCTGCTCTGAATATTTCCGCACTTCAAGATAAAATATTTAACCTACTCTCGCCTTTAAGGCCACACACAGAAGGAAAATAGGGGGGGAAAGCAGCTGAGTCGATTGTTAAAGTGAGAAAAATAAAAGGAAAGGAGAAGTGGCGGGGAGGTTTGGTGCGCACAGGTCGCAGTGCTGAAAGTCTGGCAGCGTGCGTTAGCGCGCATCTGGTGCACCTGTTAGGAGCAAGAGTGTGTGTGGTGTGAGGAGTTTGGCCACACAGATCAACCCATCAGCCTGGGTGAAAGATAAGCTGGACTTACGCTGCTGTTTTGTCCGGTCCAGTAGACCACGGCGTGATTGTGCGCAGAGTCCCCAGTAAGAGCGAAGGTGCTGCTGCTGAGCCTGGGCTCCTCCTGCCGGGTATTCCCTCTCCCATCCTCCCTGTTCCACCCGAATCCCGACCTGCCGGATTTCTGGCTCTCCAGCTGCGCGGTCCAGCCGCTCCAGTCGCTGTTGCTGAACTCGTTAAAGTCTGGAGCGCTCCTCTTTGCTCTCCCGAGCGCAGCATCCTCAGACTCAGAAGCGGCTGCTTTAACTTGATCCAAACTCAAATTAGGGCCAAAACTACCAAGAACCCCGAATTCCTGATCAGTAACCCCGGGTTCCCTGACCTCCAGCATCTCCTCCGCAGGCTTGAAGCGCACCCACTGCTGCATCTGCAGCTCCTCCCGGCGAAGTTGAACAGGCGACGGACAAGATCCGCTACTTATTTCCGCCCTGGCATGTTGGAGGGCATAAGCGGCGATCATCAGCCAGAGACCCGGAGAAATGCGGGAGCCAGCCCAGGTCTCCATCGCTAACAGAGATAAGGGTGAAGTACGACTGGAGACCTGATTATCCGACACCTCAACTCTGCTCACTCAGGTCGCTCTGCAGAAAGTGACGCCTCGGCTTTACTCCTGGATGTTTTTTTTTTCTTTTTTTTTTCTCAAGGGGGGGAGGGAGGCAATGGGAGGGAGGACTGAAGGGGGGGTGAGTAAAGTGCTCCTCAGCGAAACTGTTCACGTCTGAGGATCTTTTGGTCAGAAAAGCCACCACACAGGAGGGAGGAGCTGATTCTGAGCCAGCTGCCGAGTGAGCGCCCGGAAGAGACGCTCAGAGTGTGTGTGTGTGTGTGTGTGTGTGTGTGTGTGTGTGTGTGTGTGTGTGTGTGTGTGTGTGTGTGTGTGTGTGTGTGTGTGTGTGTGTGTGTGTGTGTCTGCGGTGGGGTAACAGAGAAAGAGAGAGAAACGCTGTCCATGGTGCTGACTCCTCTTTGAAGTGTTTAAATCTGAGCAGCACAGAAACGTCACTGTGCAGCACTGGTTGCAGCCTCGTGTTCTCTTCTCGTTTTCTTCTTATTTTCATTGATTTCTATTTATTCATTCATGCTCCACTGATATAAACCACTGCATTGATTAAATCGGCAACTGATGGCACAAAAGTTTAAGCTTTAAGACATGTTGTTCTTGCGCTCATATCCTGCGCTGTTGGAGTTCTGGATAACTGCGTAAATGTGCGCTGGCTCAGCAGTTTGGAGACAAACACTAAACACCAGTGAAGACAAAAAAAGAGCTCTTTCATTATTTTTCATTCTCTCTGGAAAGGTTGATTAAGGTAGAATTAGCAGCGTCACACAAGATCCGTGAAAGCCGAGATGTCCGAAGCTTTATTAAAGGTTTATTAACTAAATGTTGTTGAAACTCATTCTGTTTTTTTTAACGACTACATGTTTACAGGAAGGATCTGCTGTAGCGGGCTGTCTTGCAATGGTTCATGTTTGGCTTTTCCCTCTAATTTTGTGAAAAGAATAAAAATATATTTTATTGTCGCTCAGTGCGGAAATTTCAGGTGAGTCAGTGGCAATGAGAACATGTGGAAGCATACAGGCTCACATAAGACTACTAAAAACAAAACAAAAAGACAAAGAGATTAAAGTGAGGCAGTTAAAAAGAATGCCATCCTCAGAGCAAATTAAATCATTAAGAAGGAAAGAAAACAGCAGGCCAATTAAGAAAAGAAAAAATCTGAAAATAAACTGGGCATAGCAGAAGGGAATTAATCCATACATAAAAGGTGCAGGTGTACATGAAAACATCTGCTAAGCAGATAAAAACGGTGTAACTAACAGGTAACACTTTATAATAACTAGGTCTACACATTTTCAAATCCACCCCACTGTAAAGTTTGAGGCAAATTTCTTTCTAACTCAAATGTTTTAGAGTAATGTATTTGATTTTTGCTTTTTTGAGTACATTTACTAAAATCTTCTGTTTAATCTAAACAATCTGTTCATTAAATTTATTGTGGAGGATGTTCTTTTTCCACATGGATCATCAAAATAAGTGGTCCTACTAATTGTCAATCATTCTGGTTATATGTGTACATTATGCCATCCTACATGCTCGTCCCCATTTTCAATTACCGATGGTGAGTCTGACATAGTGGAAAAATTGCAAATCTTCTTTTGGAATGCAAGCTTGTATGAGCGATGCAAACAACAACTTTCAAACAGAGTGTGCATGAGGAGAAATTGGCTTGTGCACGCTCGCGCGTGCGTTTAATAGGTGTTTCCTCTTGGGAGTGGGTACAGGGTTGTGTATGTGCATTCCAAAAGTGAAGAGGGCGGGCCTTTTCGAAAATTTGAAAAAATCCTCCAGTATACCTTTAATGTTAAATAATGTGTAGATCTAATTATCCTTTTAAAATGATGTCCTAGTCAAGATGTAAAAAAATTAATGAATATTCAAATGAAATGATTAACAAGCTATGAATCTTTTACTCCTACAGACTAAATTGGCTATAACCAAGATATTCACAGTTTATTCCTTTATTTAATAAACCATAGAAACGTTTGGGAAATAATATTTTTGCTCTTCAAAAACATATATAGAGTTACGAGTACAGTTAATGGTAAAAGAGAATCTGCTGTGGCCTTTACAGTATGATGTATAATTGACTAAATCATGTTCTACCCAGTAATATTTTTGTTAAATGTCTAATACAATATTTGGCAGACATATTGCTTATATTAGACATATATATGCATACAATCAAGTGTGTTGGAACTCGCAGACAGTAAAACTGAGAAAGACATAGGTTGTCAACAGGTGCCATGTGGTAAACACATGAATAAAGGAGAAAAACTCTTTATTGTTGTCTTGTAAGTAGATAAGACCATCATTTCACCACAACAAGCTTTTTGGATGCACAGACATGGCCTGCAGCGCTGGAACAAGGATGTTAACAGCTTTATTCAAATTATAATCATGTCTTCTCACAATTTCTTGATTCAGTCTAGTGTATCCATTGTAGAAAACCGGCATGTTTGCTAACCTTTATAGCAATTTGAAGCCCTTCTATTTGAAGGGCTTGGAAAATAAATTTTATTATATAACCATATTGTGCATACCCATCAGGCCTTTTATTAGGCCTGAAAATGTTTTATTTCACTTTGTTAAAGAGCTCTAACTCCCCTCTGTTTTGCTAACTGCCACCTTTTCCTGCTGACCATGCAAAATTGTGTGAAATGTGATGGACAGGATAATTCAATTAACATTCTAACCCAATAATACTGATAATAAGAGCCAAAAATATTTTATTAATACCAAAGGGAAATTACATGATGCAAAAACTATATCCAGGTGTTGTAGGTGTTGATAGGTGTAGGCAGGAAGGATCCTCTGTAGCGGTCTGTGTTGCACCAGATCTGGAGAAGCCTCTGACTGAAGACACTGTTGCTGTATGTTGCTAGTTTTCAGTAATCAGGCTTCAATACTGGCATTGAAATCAATTCTGGAAAGCACAGCTTAGTCTTCAAATATGTAATCTCTAATGCCAAACCTATTTCCCCCCACCCCCTCATAAAAAACTAAAATATGCCCTGCTCAGCTGTGGGAAGGTTTGAGGGTTTTGGTGGTTCTTGCTACAGAAAGAGAGCTATCCTTCCCAAACAGATTGGGAGGAAATGGCAGGGAGTTACACCACTCCATGGGGAGAAATAAGGCTGAGACCATAAGCACGGGAGAGTCACAGAGATGGGGAGTGTGGAGATATACTGTGTTGGTGCACATCAAGGACCCAGAAAGAAAAGAGATGTGTGTGTATGAAAGAAAAAAGTGATTTTTTTTTTCTCCACTGCAGAAGTGGGTTTTGTTTGAGTGGCTAAGTGCAGCTCGGTTATTCATTAGCAGCCTGGCATGTTGCGTCCTTGTCTATCAACTTGACTGGCCACAAATTGAACATCAGGGCAAACCCCAGGGACTCTGTCTGAATTCCAACAAATTTCCACTGATTTTAATGTGGAAAAGAAAGCAGCAGAGCAGAGAGAGACATTTTAAAAAAATATATACAACAATACGGAGGGACTATTGCAGCAAAATGTGGAGGTTTATCAGAGTCCTCTGCACTGTCACAAAGATGCAATGTGTCCAAACTAAGTATTATGGTAAATTCTTAACTTTGCTAAGACTTGATTGTTGTGAGGAAACAAAATCGGGATATGTTAAAACATTGATTTAAGATAGTGCTCCTTGAATAAAAATGCTTGATACACCAAATTTTTTTATCAGCTTTTTTTTTTTTTATCAACCCCCTGACATTATAATGGGATGGCACCATTTAGCAGCAACCTCCTGGCTTCATTACCACAAAACTCCCAGATTAAACAAATAAACGAGGAATAAAAGACGACCTTGTTTAGAGTTCGAGGTGTCCTGTCCACATTTATCTCTTTAATAATTGTAGTCTGTGGGGAAATTAGGGCTTTTCATGCCCCAGGGGTTTTCTTTGTTGGACCGTATTCATGGCTCACCTATACCCAGCAGATAGTCAGGAATTAGTCAGAAAGTATCCCAGCAGAGCTACAAATTACACCCAAAGAAGATTTAGTGGCATTTTTTGTGTGTTTTTTAACATTGGGTCTTCCTTAAATCAGTGTTTTCGCGCTTCGAGTTATAGTTCAATGAGAAAGATAAGTAGACACTAGCTACCCCTTGAGGATTTATAAAAAATGTTATTAAGCAGGCACTCATTTTCAAAGCTACAAATTATCCATTTATTGTCAAGCACAACTATCTCTGGAAGAAGAAGCTTTGGCAGTTTAACATTATGCACAGATGTGTATTTAAGGGATCCACAATTAGTTGTATACATTTTCCCTTTAAATGCAATACAGTAAAACATATCTGAAGCTGTTTTAATATGGCTGCTGCCATGTCGTTTACATTGCAATTAATTCCTAGTAAACAACAAATTCTAGGTCCTATAGTGCTAGCTCCATCCAGCTAAAACAGCAATGACTAACATTAAAGTTTTTCAGTATGAACCAGAGTGTGTTAAAACTGAATGTAGAAATCAGAGGTGGTTATGAAGATGAAGATTACCAAACAGCGGAAGAGTTGGCCAAAGAAGCTGGTGTTTGAGTGGCTGCTGCTAGAAGATTCTACCCCAGATGCAGAGCTAATACAAATAACTTTTTGCATGTTCTGGCAATGTCTAAATTTACACCAGTCGAACACAATACCCTAAAAACGCAGCTCTGGTAATGTTAGACTACCTGTGTTTATTCTGAAGGTTCTAATCCAATCAGACCAATCTGCATCATAAACTCAGCAAATTGGCAAACTCCATAATTAGGGTTGATAACTGTTCTTTAAAAAGAACTGTCCCAAATTAAGAAACTAAATTAGGTGTCTTATGTAATTCAGCTGTAATTCAGAGTTTGGGTGGACTTTCAGAGTTACCTTGATTTAGTGTGCACTTCAGTTCTTGTCCTTCCCATGGTTGGGCTCAGCTTCCCCTCATTAAATTGACGTTCTTAAGGGAGCATAACATGAGTTTCAGAAGTCCTACAAGTATATGCTCCCTTTCGCAACAAGTAGAAATTACACCTGTGATGTGCACATGCATGGGAGAAGGGTAGAAAATCACTGCAGTCAGCTGCTGAAACTACACAGGTCTGTTTAAAGGGATAGTGTTATGGGAGGTAAGAGAGTTACAATTATTGAAATTATTTTGAATAGAGCATATTTTCAGCAATTTAGGGGAATATGGGGCATTGCCAAAAGCCATT